TTTGGTGCAGGCACATCCTCCTGTAGAGATGAAGAGGGAAACCTGGTGACAGATACAGACAGCGTGTTGAGGATCTGGAAGGAGCACTTCGAAAAGCTACTAGTATCAAATAGTGGCGATGAAGAAGATACCACAGAACCAATAAGAGATGATGGTATAGAGTGTATACCACCTAGCCAAGATGAGGTCATAAAAGCAATTAATCGGCTCAAGAACAACAAAGCAGCAGGAGCCGATGGGTTACCAGCCGAACTATTCAAGACTGGTGGCCAGATGCTGGTCAGGAGCATGCACCAGCTGATTAACACAATTTGGCTAGATGAATGCATGCCCAATGATTGGAACCTCAGCATCCTGTGTCCCGTGCACAAAAAAGGAGACAAGACGATATGTGCCAACTATAGAGGAATAAGTCTCCTTCCCATCGCATATAAAGTGCTATCCAGTGTGCTGTGTGAACGATTGAAGCCAATGGTCAATGACTCCTTCGGACCATACCAATGCGGCTTCAGACCTGGCAAATCCACCATTGACCAGATTTTCACTCTGCGCCAAATCCTGGAAAAGACCCACGAAAAACACATCGACACATACCACCTATTTGTCGACTATAAAGCCGCATTCGACAGCCCTATCCGTTCAGAGGTGTTTAAAGCCATGCCTGCGTTCGGCATTCCTGCAAAATTAATACGGCTATGCAGGATAACTTTAAGTGGCACAAGGTCAGCAGTTAAAGTAGGAAAGGACCTATCGGAGCCCTTCAATACCGAACGAGGATTCAGACAAGGTGACAGTTTGTCGTGTGATCTTTTTAACATCCTACTGGAAAAGGTCATACGAGACGCAAAGGTGAACAGAAATGGCACTCTGTATACCAAACAACATCAGTTACTCGCCTACGCTGATGACATCGATATAATGGGTCGAACATTGCGAGCGGTAACAGCCACCTTTGAACAAATTGAAAAGGAGTCTGCCAAAGTGGGTCTGGCAGTAAACGGCGAGAAGACCAAGCTGATGGTATCAACGCGCAAGACGTCCAGTAGACTCGGACCAACTGTGGAACTTGAGAACTACAGCTTCGAGGTAGTTAAAGACTTTATATACCTTGGTACCGCCATAAATAAAACGAATAATATCAGTTTTGAAATTCGGAGAAGGATTGTGATGGCCAACAGATGCTACTATGGTCTAAGTAAGCAGTTTAGAAACAAGGCCACCTCTCGCCAGACCAAACTCACAATTTACAGGACGCTGATACTACCCGTGCTATTATATGGATCAGAAGCATGGGTACTTGCGCAAGCAGATGAGGCAGCGCTTGGGGTGTTTGAGAGAAAAATTCTCCGAAAGATCTACGGGCCGATCTGCGTCGACGGTGAATATCGGCGTCGAATGAACCACGAGCTCTACAATTTATACGCGGACATCGACATAGTCAGTCGTATTGAGCTGCAGCGACTACGGTGGCTAGGCCATGTTGTGCGGATGAATGAAGATGCCCCAGCTCAAAAGGCATATAAAAATGAGCCTACTGATGGTTCCCGTAGAAGGGGAAGGCCACGAATTAGTAAGTAAGTAATATTTAACGGTTTGTATTTTCAAAATAGAATATATAACTTAATATCTTTTGTAAACTTTTCCAGAAAACCAAAATTTGTATCAGAACCTAAAATTGACTTATAGCCTACACAGACGACAGCCTTAATTTACATTAACAGTCTTAATTCAAATTAACTTGTACATTATCCTCCTTTTTATGTATCGTAAATGCACAAAATCAAACTGAATTTATACTGAATTAAACAATTCCAATATGGCAATGCTGTAGAAAATAAATTATTTGTTGTCGAATTTGTTTACGTTTATGAAAAAAATATTAGCTATTTTACTACCATTTTAGCTATTATTCTTCCGTTCTGTCATGTATCTACAGTGGTGGTCACAGAATTAAAACATTTACTGTGGTAAACATTTTTTGATCAGCCCTCGATTCGTTTGAAGTATTTTTGAAAATTGTTTTATTCAGAACTCTTCGATATACTGCACTTAAGAGATTTAGTGTGAAAATTGAAAATTATTGCATGCAATTTTTCCATAAATAACGGTTTTTATGAAAATGCATCGACTTTGAAGTGGCCATATAATTAAAATATTGTGTGATTTTTTACTTTACTGCATTTTTTGAAAATATTTTTAAAAAAAACTCTTCATTTTAGTTAAATTATGTAAAATAAGCATCGATAAAATAATTTAAAAAAATATAATTTATTAAAAAAATCTGTAAAATTTATCGAAATTGCCAAAAATTTGTACAGTACACCTAACATTCAGAAAAATTAGTAGAAAACAATAAATAATTCTCAAAATAAAAAATATTTGAAATAAAAACTCAAAAAAATGGGAATTAACCTAAAGGAACGATTCAATTTCGATAGCCTTTATTGAAGAAGGCCGCAACATTTTTGCAGCATGTAAATATCGATTGATATTGGCATTTATTATATCAAATCGATTGTTCGAGTAGTACAGAATAAATTTTATCTAAAAATATATCAGTCACAACAGAAAGAACAGAGATCAACGCCTTTGTTGACGAGTAAAAGTTTCTGCAACACAGCAGCAATTTGATGCTCAACACAACACTTTAAATATTTGTCAAAATGTAAAATTTTTCTTTCTTTTAGGCTAAAATAGATTAAATGGACATTATTCTATTCAAAAAATATTATTTTGGAAAAATATTGTCATGTTCAATAGATTTTAAGGGTCAAGAGTTAACAATCAAACATGCTGCTGTGTACCAGGAACTTTTTTTCGTCAACATAGGTGTTGAAATCTATTCGTTCTGTTGTGACTGATATATTTTTAGATAAAATATATTCTGTACTAGTCGAACAATCGATTTGATGTAATAAATGCCAATATCAATCGATATTTTTTCACATACTGCAAAAATATTCCGGCCTTCTTCAATAAAGGCTATCGGAATTGAATCGTTCTTTTAGGTTAATTCCCATTTTTTGAGTTTTTATTTCAAATATTTATTTATTTTGAGAATTATTTATTGTTTTCTACTAATTCTAGCAATTTCTGGTCATTCGGACCTTTATTTTCTATAATAAGTATGATTTTTTTTAATGTTAGGTGTACTGTACAAATTTTTGGCAATTTCGATAAATTTTACAGATTTTTTTTAAATGTATATTTCTAAATCATTTTATTGTTGCTTATTTTACATAATTTAACAAAAATAAAGAGCTTTTTTACAAATATTTTCAAAAAATGCAGTAAAGTAAAAAATCACACAATGTTTTAATTATATGGCCACTTCAAAATCGATGCATTTTCATATAAACCGTTATTTATGGAAAAATTGCATGCAATAATTTTCCATTTTCACACTAAATCTCTTAAGTACAGTATATCGAAGTCTTCTGAATAAAAAAATTTTCAAAAATACTTCAAACGAATCGAGGGCTGATCAAAAAATGTTTACCACAGTAAATGTTTTAATTCTGTGACCACCACTGTATTTCATAAAGATGAAGTCCCAAAAAATATTGGAAACAATTGTGAAAATTTTCATCCTACACACAGACAAACAATAGTTTTGAAACAAATTCATAAATGCAGAAACTCTCGTCTGTCAGGGGTAAATATTAATTCAAATTAGGAACTTGTTAATGCAAATTAAGGCTGTCGTCTGTCTATGGTATTAAACCACTTTCGAAATAAAAGACTTATATCTTTAATTGTTTTCGATATTGTTACTCTGTATGAATTGTCATCCATAATATGAAAACTCTCTCTTAGGTTTGCCATAAAAATAATAAATTTATTTAAAATCTGCTTATTGAATTGAATGATTCGACAATTCTTCATTACTAATGGGTGTATTAATACGAATTTTGCATCCTGTCTGGCTCTTGTATAAATTAGGATTATTGACTTCGCTCAAATTAGCAAAATGGCTAACCTAGGATAAATATTTTTTGGTAAATCGACTATTTTGGACCAAAAACCAAAGAGGAAAATAGGAAAGATCTTCACAGATTGGATTTAGCTATGTAGGCTCAGAATTACTTGTTAAAATTTGGAACCGATTGAATTAATCTTAAAAACACTGTTTCGAGAAAACGCATTAAAAAGTTGAGGAACGCCCTTTCCATCACCTGTCGCTTACAATAAAAAATCGGTTTTTTTGTAACCGAGAATGTATCACAACCGACCGAAATAATGATTTTTGTTGGACAAAAATAATTTTTTTGTGACTAATCCACTTATTTCACGGGCTTCATGTAAAAGTAAACGCCTACAAATTGCATCGTTTTTCGAAATTTGATCCACAAAATCGTCTTTAAATTCGGCCGGAAAATACTTTTTATACTCTCCGCCAAGAGATTGGCATTCAAAATACCTGCAACCGTTCGGAATCTTTGCATATTAATATATATAACAACTCGAAACAACATTTTAGCACATCGTGCCAATTAACTTTATTTTTTATTATGTTTGTTCAATTTATTTTTATTAATGTCTTCATGTTGCATTACAGTTGATTTTTTCTCCACAGTACTGGAGTAGCAGAATTGTTCTCAAATTCACCTAGCCGTGTCTTGAGCAGTTGGAATGATGTGTAATCAGTCATATCGTATGCGTTCTGTGATGGGTTAGGATGAGGATGGGGAGGGGGTTAGATGTATGGAAAGATGTTTATTAGTTGGTGTTAGTTGTGTTAAGTCTTTGGCCAGGAGCATGTTTCCGTACGAGTTCAACTCTAAATTTAGGATAAATGCTCCTTAATCATATTCCGTTCAGAATAAGTGCCAATCCCAATAATCTGTCAAATGCACAAAACTCCATTCTGAGAATTGAACCGTTGACTTCAATTGTACTAAAACAATGTATGTGTATGTATATATGTATGTGTCTGCCTTTTTGCTAATATGTCGTGTGGCTATGTACATTTATATTCCAAATATTATTGATATATGTAAATACATGAACTTGATGTAATTAGTTGTAAACTCCACGGACCATTCCTTCGCGATTTCGGGTGTGCCATTTGCATGTTAGAATGCGTATATATGTCCTTCGAAAGGAGGCATTGCAAAGGGCATAACAAACAGGATTGATTGTTGAGTTGATGTAGCACAAGGCGTAAAAAAATTCCCACAACTCGTTGGGTATGCAGTCGGAACAGGTAGTTAATGGTTTTATTAAGACTAGAATATTGTACGGTGTCCAGGTGATGATGAAGCTTAATAGAATTGCCGAGAGTGTTTTTGCTGCTTTTGATTCTTGTCGTTTTTCTTGTGATTTCTTTTTTTTCTTGCCAGCATGTCGAGATATGGCGTGTGGCGTTTTACCCAACTGTTTGGGAATGATTTTAGCATTTAATGGAATTCGAACGTCCGGAGCTATGTGAGACATTCTCCGACCTAATGGCAGACTATATTCCGAGTCTCTTGATGGTAAAGTTCTTCGCGGAAGAAGGTTTGTAGGTGCAATTGGTGAATCCTCGTGAATCATTTTGATTGATGGTGCCATCTCGACGCCATTGCCAGCGCTCGCACCATCGGGCGGCAAGCGTATCAGTATAGTGTATACCGACTCCTGACTAACTGAACGTGTCGCCATTTTGTTGTTGTTCGACAAGGATCTCGATTCTCGATTACCACCCACAGAGTTCATATCCTGCATTTGTGACAATGGCGTTAGCGGTGGCCTAAGTGGAATTGGTGAAACATCTGGTAGCAAAATGCTCGGTGGGCGCACACCACTTACGCTTCCGCCAAGTGAATATGTATCCCGCATCATATTGGAGGCACAACTAGAAAATACACAAAAATTTGTTACCAAAAATTATTTGAAGGCAATGTATCGAGAATAAATAACTGGTTTCTAAAGCAGTTTAGATTCATGAGTCATGCAATGCTTTGTACAAAATACACAATATGCAACTTGTAATTATACTAGAATTTTCTAAATAAAATTTCAATTTTCAATAAATATTTTAATAATCCTAATAGGAATTGCCTTTCGTATGGTAAATCGAGGCAAATGCAGCGCAATTTAGTAATTAAATCTAGATAATGCACATTATCACAATGAAAGCTATAGTCTAAACACGACTTATAGATTTGCAGCTTCTTTTGAGAGAGTGGAGAGAGGTTCTAACAAATGGATAGAAACCGTAAAGACTTGTAGAGGGCTTCTAGGCAAGTTAATAATAAAAACGCAATAAGTGGAAAATGATATTGTTTCAAAATTATATTCCAAATTTGTTTTCAATTTATATACAAGTATGCAAAAAACGCTTAATAGCCTAGACAGACGACAGCCTTAATTTGCATTAACAGTCTTAATTCAAATTAAATTGTACATTATCCTCATTTTTATGTGTTGTTAATGCACATCAAACTGAATTTATACTGAATTAACCAATTTCAATATGGCAATGCTGTCGAAAATCAATTTATTGTTGTCAAATTTGTTTACATTTATAAAAATAAAAATTATAAATAAAGGCAAATTTCAATATTCTTTCAAATTTGGAGTTGCTTTGCCAACATCATAGCTGCTATTCTTCCTTTATGCCATGTATCTATTTCATAAGGATCTAATCACGAAAAATATTGTAAACCAATGACAAAATTTTCTTCCTACAAACGGACAAACAATTGTTTTGAAACAAAAAACTGTTTGTAAATGCAGAAACTCTCGTCTGTCAAGGGTAAATATTAATTCAAATTAAGATTTTTTTAATGCAAATTAAGGCTGTCGTCTGTCTACGGTATTATACTGAATTAAGGAATTTCAATATGGCAATGCTGTCGAAAATCAATTGATTGTTGTCAAATTTGTTTACGTTTATGAAAATAAATATAAAAAATAAAAGCAAATTTCAACAGTCTTTCATATTGGGACCTCTTTTGCCAACGTCATAGCCGCTATTTTCCCTTTATGTCATGTATCTATTTTATAAATATGTAATTCCGAAATATATTGAAAACATATTCCAATATATTCTTCATACCCACAGACAAACAATTGTTTTGAAACAAAAAACTGCTTCGTAAATGCAGAAACTATCGTCTGTCAGGGGTAAAAATTAATTCAAATTAAGAATTTTTTAATGCAAATTAAGGCTGTCGTCTGCTTTTGGTATAACACTGTTAGGATATCGTAACACAGAGCCAAGAATTTTTTCATGACCATAGACCATCGTAAATGTAAAAATTAAGTACGAAAAAACATCTTCGTATAATATAAGAATTGTCATTACCCCATATCAGATGGTTCCTCCTGTTCGTAGGGATATTCATCGGAATCTTCTCGTCCGGAATGCCACCACGCAATGCACCATTCCTTTACACTGCCGAGACATGGATATGTACCTTTGGGTTTCTGTATACTCTTGATCTGTTGAAGATAAAAATAAGATTTCACTGTGTGTCTTTAACGTTGTTAGTTAAATAAATAATATGGTATGATAACATGAGTGATTTTAACTCCACTTGTTCATTATAACTGTCACAGGAAGCCTTTGAAAGTAGGGTGTGTTTTAACAACAAGAAAGCTCTACCGTTGTGCAAACTTTGGGAAATCATATTTAAGGGGACCCCCCATTCACGGTGTCAAATTTCAAGAGAAAATCTCAAGAACTCTTCAAGATATAGACCTATTCTCAAACTTTAAACGCATTTTTCTCGAATCAGTGTTTTACGAATGGCAGGCACGATAACTCAAAAACTAATAATCCGATCGATTCCAAAATTTGGGACGTTTCTCTGTGAGTGTATAGCTATCGTATGAACTAGAATAAATCCAATCGGTCGAGAACTTCCTTTTTTTAATTGGTTTGTGGTAAAAATAGGTGATTTTTCAAAAATATTTTTTTAAGGGTCCGACATTTGATTGATTTTTGAGCGAAGCCAATAATCCTAGTTCATACGAGAGGCAGACATGTTCCCTTTCTAACACCGTTGGAATTTTCGGATTCCGATGTTCCAGTAAGGAGTTATCATGCCCGCCATAAAAAATAAGGACTTCACTTCAATCACCAAAAACAACAACAATTTGTAAATTATTTTTCTTCTCTTTGAAATCTTCAACTATATATCGTTACCTAAAATGCAAAAAGGCGTAACTAACAAAAAATTGATAATTGACTTTTTGAATGAATATTGTGAATGTCAATAAACTACATGTGTTGACAAAGTTTTACACGTCTGCGGTCAAAAAAGGAGCTTCTATTAACAAAAAACAAAAAGACGTAACTACAAGTGGGTTTATTTGATAAATGCAAAAAGGCGTAACTAACAAAAAATTCACGTTTTTACTTAATTGTTATGACTGCCATTAAACTAAATAACTAAATTTGTTAAAAAAAATTATAGTCTATTATTCGTCATATGCAATATCACCCTGCCGGGCATACTTTTTTTTGACATGTTTATAGTTTTCATTCAAAACCGTTTTTTGCTTCTCCTAAACAATTATGCTTTTGTTAGTTTCGCCTTTTTGCATTTTAGCTGACGATATGTGTAAAGTTACAAACCTTAACATGCATTGGTATTCATTTTCCAGCCGATTTTAGGTAAATGGTGCACTAAAGTCCATATATATCGTTCGAATGAATTAAGCCTAGAGTGATGTCTGCCAAGTTTCGTGAAAATCGGTCCAGATTTAGATATAGCTCCCATATATAGTTTCGTCCGATTTTATGTAAATGGTGCACCAAAGTCCCTATATATCTCTCGATTTGCACGAAACTTGGCATAACGTACTGAATTGAGCCTAGAGTGATGTCTACTAAATTTCGTGAAAATCGGTCCAGATTTAGATATAGCTCTCATATACATTTTCATTCGATTTTATGTAAATTGTGCACCAAAGTCCCTATATATCTTTCGATTTGTACGAAATTTAGCATAACGTACTGAATTGAGCTTAGAGTGATGTCTGCCAAGTTTCGTGAAAATCGGTCCAGATTTAGATATAGCCACCAAGGAACCAATATATGGTTGATAGGAACAAAACGTACTGAAATTAGTATATCCCAATCTGTGCCAAGTTTCGTTGAAATCGGTTCATATTTGGATATAGATTACCCATATATTTTCGTCCGATTTTAAGTAAACGGTGCAAATGGTGTTTGTCAGATTGACATGCAATTTTGCACAACATACAAAATTGAGTATAGAACAACGTAGTTGGGCTTTCTAGAAGTACAGACATTGCCCAACCGCCCAACATTTGTCCCATTGTAACAAACATGCTTATAGATTGATCTATGTTGATTCACATTTAGATAAATATCACATATTTTAGTTCATCCAATTTCATGTTAATTGTTCTTTTTAATATACCCATATTGGTGAAGGGTATCATATAGTCGGCCCCGTCCGACTTTACTACTTTCCTTACTGTTTTTTTTTTCAAATTCAAAAAATAATGTTTTCTTTTTGTATGTAGAATCGAGAATGTCCTCAACACAGAACTGTCAAAGGTTTAGTACTTTGGAGAAATCGTACTACATCCAGTCACATTTGGCAATAATTGTTGTTAACAAATATCGATTTCAGTACTACCTGAAATTCGCCTAGCCCGCTCGACGTTTTTCACCACAAAAGTTATGCGACTTTTGCCGAAATGCTTTGGGCGTACTAAAGTTCAAAGTTGAACAAATTGTTTTGAATAGCTAATTGTTACATTGAAAAGCGCCTACTTAGACTTATATATTTAGTTATATCTTTATATTCATAAATTTTCTATTTCGGATGCTTCCGTATTTCGTGGAGGATAGATGTGAAAAGCAGTCGAGAGACAAAAAAACGCGGTGGCGGTGTGAAAAATAAACACTTAAATACTTAACCCTTTGTGGTCCGAATTTTTACCCGTGACAATAGAACTATTTTCTGTGCACAGATTTAAGTTCCGTTCCAGAACGTAAAAGAATCTACTAATTTTACAAGTTTTGCAATTTTTTACTCGAAACCCGTTCCTAAACCCACAAAACTGGTAAAACATTGAATCAAATTTATTATAAACTTTTTACTCGAGAATTTTGGCCGAGTAAAAATGGTAAACAGGAATGCCTACTTCTGATTGGCTGTTATGTTGATTTTGAAGTAATGCCATCTAATTTTGGCATATTTACTAGATTTGCGCTCCCGAACTTTTCAAATTATTTTGTACTCTGAGAGCGATTTTGAAACGCTTCCCTTTTACTATCTTTACTATTAAAATAGTAGTGGAACAGACCATTAATGTAACTATCCTAAATAGTATATGAACAAAATTTGTCGTTACTACAGAAATTTGAATTTTTGGATTTTTCTTTTGATATGTGTCATCCATAATCAGTAGGCCTATTCTGTAACTTTTAACAACATTCGATATTGTTTAAAATTTTTTTGTTATTGTAAACACAATAAAACAAACAAATGAAATTGTTGTAAAATAAACAATATCGAATGTTGTTAAAAAGTTACAGAATAGGCCTACAGCTCTTAACACATGTAATCCAAAAAATATACATTTACTTGCCGCATATTAAATATAACCTCTAAAACATTTTGTTGCCTGTGGGCAACATTGGGCCATAAAGGGTTAATAATAAAATCTTCCCAATTAGAAATCTACAATTCACTACTTATTGACTGGCTGGACAATCGACTTCCCCAATGACATTCCCATGTTAAATTCATTGGTCTAAGACATTGAATGGTAGTTTGTAAAATTTATAGTTCATCATCAGTAACTCGACCTGTTAGGATTGAACGGGCCACTATAAAAAAAAAAGTCGGTATCTATATCATACCTTGTAATGATTATATATATTTATGTAAAATGGATATTTAAATACGTACGCTTGACTTTCTGGAATGGATTCCTTGGTAACTGGGATCAATTATCATGTTGGGTATGTAAACACTTTCAGCATCAGCAGACGATTCGGAACGTGGCCGTCTCCAAGTTTCGTGGTCACCACCCACACCCCCTAGTTGTGTTATAGACAGCATAGCACCAGTGTGGTTAATAACTGTATTCTCATCACTTGGACCATAAAAGAACATAAAATTAATGTATGTTATTTAAAGTCTTATAATAATGTAGTTGAATATAAATTTTAAGGGTTGTACAGCTTCTAGTTATGAAAAACTACAACAAAAAATAATTCTTGTTTTGTCGCCTAATAATGTATTAATTGGGCTCACTTATGAGCCTGATTAACACATTTAAGTCAAATTAAACAAAGTTTTTATGACGATTACAATTTATGTCACAATGAATCTCTTAGAATGCTGGAGTTTCTAAACTGGCTTATTACTTATCGTATGAGGGTCGTACCTAAATTCATGCGTATGCGTACGAATTTATTCACCTCAAAAGTTAATTACATGTATTTCAATGAATATTACCCAAATACGCATTGCGTATAAAAATATAATGTTGCAAATTTTCAACATCGACAATGCGTATTTTGGAATTTTTGTTTTTTGCAAATAGAATTCCAATCATTGAAAAATTTGTTTTTCTATAAATGTAAACATTTTTCGATCAATTAAAAAAATGTTTTCATCCATTTTCGCCGTTTTCAAGTGGTACAGATGTAAATAAAGTCCTTGCGTACTTGGGTAATACAGACGTCTTACATGTACGGAGCGCAATAAATAAAATAAACGTACCTACGTTTAGGTAGAAACATCTGCATATTTCAACTTTAATTTACTACTTTTCTTAATTTTTAACATACCTCGAATTGGAACGTTTAGACGAATCCTTCTTCCCAGCCTGTAAATTTGGCAAGTCCTTCTGGCGTTTCTTGGTTTCCTTCCATATTCGGTAATATAGGAAACACATTATTGTTACTGGGAAATAAAACGCCGCCAGCGCAGTTAGAAATGTGATATATTGATTGGTTTCAATGAACTGAATGTAGCATTCATCCTGTGGAACCGTTCGTTTGCCCTCAATGTACGGCCAACTGTAGATCCAAGGAGGCCAGAGAATCAGACTTATTCCCCAGGCGGCAGCTATCATGCAGGCAGCTCTATTAGTCGTTCTTTTGGCCCGGTAGGTGAGAGGCCTTGTGACGCTGAAGTATCGATCAAAGCTGATTATTAGAAGATTAAGAACTGAGGCGTTCGAGGCTAAGTAGTCTAAGGCTAGCCAGGTGTCACAAATGTGCGGCCCAAGAGGCCAATATCCGACTATGGTGGAGACAGCAAACAAAGGCATCGATATCAGGCCAATTGCAAAATCGGCAATTGCCAATGAGAACAAAAAGTAATTGCTTATAGTTTGCAGTTGCTTGTCGATTTTAAAGGATATCATCACCATAACGTTGCCCACCACTGTCAGCAAACTGAGAATGCCCGCTATGACACCCATTAAAATCATCGACGACAGTGAATAACGTGGTCCGCGCGGTTCCAAAATAGTTGTAAGATTTGTATGTATCCCTGTGACGGACTCATTTCCAAACAGTACAACAGCTGTGATATTGTCAAGGATATCCGACATGAGAGTGACATGTGGGAAGTTATGACTTCCTGATGATGTCGGAGGCGTTGGGGTTGTAGTCGTCGTTGTCGTTGTGGTGGTGGTCGTAGTCGTCGTCCTGAATGATGGAACCAGGGGCTCCAAAATGATTGGTGGGCCATGAGCAGCAAGCGCCAAGCTTATGTATGACGTCATTGTGTATTGTGTTTATGCGCTTTCAGTCTGTAAATAAGTAAATACCTGTTTTAATACATCAAATTTAATCGATATTAGACATTTTTATAAACTAATCAAGGCATTGGAATCAATTGGTTTACTCAACCCAACAATCATGTCATTAATAAATGAGAATATATTTTGGAGCTAATATCTGAAATAATTGTAGTTACCTAAGGCAAAACATGACCAGAAGACATAAACCCAATTATAGATGGAATGCCATGGTAGAATTGAGTCCGTTATTTTGAAAGTGGTTTAAATCAATTTTAGATTAAGGCGACAAAGCCACAAACAAGATTAATACCTCTTAACAATATTTTTTGAAACAAATCAAACCCAAACTTTTAAATATCTCAATATAAGAAAAGTAGACTTAAACTCCTTGTACATTAGAACTTTTTTACCGGGTTAACCTACTTTATGAGGATTTATTTGACATATATGCAAAGGAAATGACAATTGAAACCCAGTGGGTTAACGAAATCTGGTTAAATGTAAACGTACTATTAAGCCACTTTCAAACTTAACGACTCAATTATACAAGGTAACTACAATACTCAGAGTTTGTAACGCTGCGAAATATTGCTCCTAGATCTTTAAGTATACCGATCATCATATATTGACTAACTTAGTCGAACTAGACATGTAAACGCGATCCAGGCCACAGTTTTGGGCCAATCGTTTTTGCGTTTAATATTAAGGATATCAAATGGACCAAAAACTTTATTTTGTCTGTTTTTCTGATCGCTCTTGAGGCCACAAATACGACCCGAACACCACGAAATATTATACCAGGAAGGGAATCTGGTCAAAGAATAACCATGACTGTTTCGAGAAAGATCGGTCAATATTTAGGAGGTCAAATGGAACCACACTTTTGTGTGAAAAATTACAAAATTTGTATTCTTGGGTCTAGGTCCGTCAGGAAGAATTTAGTAGTCTATTAAAGAGTAGCGATTGATCTTTGAATTGATACCAATAAAATTGCTACATGTACTCGGATGTTCGGGTTATGCATATACCTACTGACCTACTGTTTCGAAAATAAAGTTATAGTGAATGATTTTTCAGAAATAAATAGGTAATTTATTAGCTTTTAAAACTAAATCAATTTTTGATATTTTTGTTATAAATGAATCTACTATTCCTCGCATCCTGAACCTTTCGGAAGAGTTTATGTTAGTTAGTGAATCACTTTTGATTTTGCTATCTATGATGCTCCAAAGATTTATTTAGGAAAGAAAACCAGTCCAAGATTATTGATATACTGTGCCTGAGCCTTTCATTTTTGGACTTTCTCACGGTAATTTTTTCATGAGTCTTTAATATTTAACTTTAGTTCATCCGAGAGCATAATAGTTCTTCCAATTAGTATGAACTTCTAGGAAAGCCCATCTGGCTTTCCGATTCTTTCAGAAATAAATAAACTTTGTTGATAGTTTCCGGGTATTTAGGCCTGCTATCATAGCTCGTCCACGCTCTGTTCTTGAGGTAATATTCAACGATATCCCTCCCACAAATTCCTTTGAACTTTTTTTATACAACATTAAAAACCAGATACATGTTATTGTGATAAAATCTATTTAAAAATGATCTGTAAGAATAGAAATAGGTGTAGAGTCCAAAACATAGTAATTATAACGGTAAAAATAGATGAAATCTTAGAGCGCATCTGTTTGTACTGTAGAGTTCCTTTAGTTTTATCCAAGCAAAAATTAAGACAATTCCCTTATCCATAAATTATTATTTATTTCGTAATGAATTTTGCATTAATCCTTTTATTTTTTTTTAAGCGAATAAAGTACCCGAATAAAAACTGAAAAAACCACACGATATCTTTATTTATTAACCTTGCAATTATAGTTGCTTTAGTATTGGCCACCAGTGTATGTGAAATTTGAAATTTTACATGAAGTTCCGGTTATGGTCAAGGACGACACCTATAATTTTCAGTGATGTTGAGAGAGCTTTTTTTTGTCAGATTTTCTAGTCGCTCTAGAGGCCATAATTATATGCAGAACATCATATATTTTACGGCTATTTAGATGATAATTGGTCAATATTCCGATGGTCAAATCAACCAAAATCTAAAATGGAGGGTGCAAATGTCGTGAAATATTGCCAGGCTCGGTATATAGAACCGCATAAAGTTAGATTTTCGTGGTAGTTGGGTAGGATATCATATGGTCGGCCCCGTCGGTCTATACTGCTCCGCACACTGGATTTTTGTTTAGTTCATTTGTTGAAATATTTTGTCAATGAAAGCAGTAAAGTAAAAAATCGCACTTGTTTTAATTACATGTCCACTCCATTTTGTTTTTTTTTTTTAATAAAAACTATTTTCACACTAAATCTATTCTGTAGAATACATCTCAAGGTTTTGAAAAAAAGAAATTAAAAAAATCATGGTCTGATACATTGACATTTTTACTGCATGTATTATTTTATTTACGTGACTTCCACTGAAGGTAACTCTCCTGTTGCTAAAGTTTTTTTTATTTTTTATCATTTGTATCAAAATAATTTTGTGCTATAAATATATTGTATTTGATTATAGTTCTTCAAATAATAAAAAAATATTGTCTTATATACAGCATATTTTCTAGCAATTTGTACAGAATTTGCCTGTTCCCGTACTGCAAAAACCTATTACTTTTTACTACGATAACAAATGTTTCTTATGATATCGAAAAAGAAAATAGTAACAACTAACAGATTCTTGCAGTAGTTTCAAGAGTGTTAAACGTCACGTACATTACCGGGTTAGCTACTTAATGAGCATTTATTTGACACATATGAATGTCAATTGTCAATTTAAAGCCACCGGACATTTACAAATGGTACTCAGTAATATTCTCTATAAGTAAAATCCAATGAAAATTATTCTTATGTCATATTTTAAAAAACACATTAAATTGTTTTTGAAATGTTAACTTTTTAGGGATGTTTTGTTTGAGAAATTAGAATCCTACTACTCTCCCAATAATGTTACTGAGTAAATATTGCAATCATTTTGTTATTCATGATACAGTACTACTAAAATCCAAAATTATATCCCAAAATATTTTTTGGGTTATTATTCTACATGTACACAGATATTTTGCGTATGTATGTCAGTAACATTAAATTTGTTGCAATAAGTTGATGTGTACCGACATACCTACATAGTATATCTACACAAATGCATTTAGGCGGTTCCGTTCATAGAATCGATTTAAGTACGAAAATATTGAATGAATGCGAAAAGCCCGATTAAACACAATAATCACCATCACAATAATCAACAAGAGGAAGTGTACACATATGCTCATTCGCCTTGCCTACTTCGTTCGATTGCTCTTGTGTTTGAGCAGCGCCAGTTGTTACCTTCCTTTCTAAATCTTTGCTTGTCGATTCTATCACTCTGAGGTAATTCGGTTTGCATTAATCAAAACGAGCTCATCGGAAGTTGCCCTATCTAATGTGTGTGTCTATATCAGCACGTCTCTCTTTCTATATCTATGTTTTTTCTCTTTTCATTCTCTTCCTCTCCCTCTCTTACGCTCTCGTTCTCATCTCATCCACAAAAGGCAAAAAGCTATGGCGATGTCGCATCTGTGATTCCTGAATAGATTTCCTTTGCATGTAATATACAGAATACTTTCGATACATATACATATATATAGGCATACGTATTATTTATACTCACACATCTCAACAAAGGACTATTATGCTGCACATTACGAATCTGTTGTGACTACTGCTGCTGGGCATCCATACAACTCAAGTCTACCCATTCATTTATTAAAAGCACGCGCACACACTCACATACATGAATACAAAAGCTAAGCATAAGCTAACAGGAAATAACGCTCCTTGCTTGGCTTTCGCTTGCCTTTTAATTGTACGACGTTCGCAGATGCATACATGAGTGCTCAGTCAAATACACGTGTGTGTGTGAATGTTTGGTTGTTCGGTGGGTCGGTCGGTTGGCTGGCTGGCTGATAGGTTGTTCGCTCACTTTCTCGATGGCCCGTTTAAAAAGTATGTACACAGTATTTTATTAAATTTATTTTACACCACAGCCAATACATTTTGCTTTGTAATCTTCGTGGCTTATTCGATTAACTGTCATCGCACTTTTTATGCCGTTGCTATTCAATGTATTTGTTTTATATACTGTTTTCTTTTGTCAATCACTTAATTCAATTTTCCATAATTTCTGGTTAAAAATTCAACACGAGTGGGCCTAGATTGATGCTCACTTAACAAGGTATTCTATATTCATCGGTTAAGGGCGTCACATCATTTTCAGTGTAGACTCGAAGTATCCAAGGATTCCAGTTTCGACTGGTTTATTGTTCACAAATCAATCTTACAATTAATATTGCCGATGTTAGTATGTATTTTAGGTAGTATTTATTAAGTACTTTTGAATATATGTAAATAAAAAGGTAGTACAAAAATTTTAAATTTGATTAGAAAAATGTCCTTAAAAATACTCGCTTAGCTTTTTTCACAACAACGTAACTGTTCCACATCTCGTCCTCGACTAAAGTGAAATGTTGAAATGCTGAGTTACACAGATAGCCGAGAGAACCAAGTGTGTGCTGACACGAATACATACACATTGTAGGGATGCTTGGACAAGGAGTGTCTGTTTTGTCAAAATGTGTCCAAAACTCACGCTATGTGCGTACGGGGATGTCAATACAAGAAATGACACACAATTTTCAAATGCAAAACCGTTATTTGCACGGTTTGTGTAAAAATATTTAATACGAAGGTTATTTTCATTAAAATATAAATGCTATCCTATAACAAAAAATATTGACTTCCATTACTTATAGCTAGAGGAATATGTATGTTTATAGCCATAAGCTTTATCTTACAGAACAATCCAACATAATGGATGCTTCCTAACATTTATGTTGAACATTTCGATTTTCTTTCAGTAGGAGAGTGACACCAAATAACACGCTAACTTAACAGATATG